GGGGGGGGGGGGGAAGTATTTGCTGTTCAGTTGTATAGTGTCCACTTGCATTTTTTGTTGAAGCCAAAACATTTAATTATTTCAGTAAGCAGCTGTGTGTTTCCCACTGCAGCAAATCTATCTAAGCATGTTTTGTCACCATCTTTGTTCCTTCAGCTGGGCTGCGTATAATGCATTCAAGCTTATTGCAGGCATAAAGTAACTTAAAAGACTAGACTGTAGATAGTAGGTAACCGTGTGCTAATAGCAGATAGCTGTGTGCATATTAGGACAGGAAGAGGGTGGCAGTTTTGGCTGGAGAGTATCTGTGATTCTCTATATAAAGTGTTTATGTAACTCAGAGAACTGGACATCTCTCTCCCAAAATGTTAACTGCCTGGGTGTGAAGGGCAGCTGTGTGCTGTTCAGTCCAGCAGCTTCTTCCCCTTGGATCTGGGGCCCCTTCACACTTCCAAACCTCAAACAGTGGCCGATCTTAATGTAACTGTACGTACTGGGAAGCTGAGCTCATTAGCTCAGACTGAAGGTGGAGTAATGCAATGAGATAATGGCCCAGTGACAATGGAAACGGATACTTCAGTGCATCTCTTATGAGATCAGCTGCTCTGTGAGGAAATAACAATAAAAAAAAAAATCCAAGCGCACTTATAGCATGGAAAATGACTGGAGAACCGGCGTTTGATATAACATTTAGTGCAGTGTTGCTGGGCATTGGAAGAAGTCAAGGCATCTTTTCAGGGATCATAGATCACAGATTGTGTCTATCAGGTACTTTGAATATATGTCCTTTGGGGCTTTTAGGAAGTTCCATCTGCAGACCATAGCAGAAATGAACGAGGTTACTTTGAGTGGTCTCTACTCAGATGAACTCTTGTGATCCATTGTAGCTGCCTCAATATTTTTTTTTTATTTTTTTATTTTTTTTTGGAAGTGGGTGGCATTGTGTGTTTACTTGCCTGCTCTCGACCTGCCCATTTTAGGGCTACTTCTCATCTCAACACTACTTTCTTATGACAAATGACTGCCTTGGTGAGAACTCTTCTCTATCCTTTTCTATCCAGAGCCTGTAGGCTATGGAAAGACACTGCATGCAGTTTTGCGCCCACATTGAGTTTACCAGGAGAAAAATCTAGTTTGGTACCTTCATTCACTTTCAATGCTTCTCCTTTTATCTTCTGTAATAGCTTGTGTGTTGAAAGTGCGTTTTTAATTAAATTGTTTGCATCTTGTATATGCACAATACGTTCACTTTGAGGGCATTTTTATTACAGTAGGAGGGTGGTGATATGTAATAAGTCTCAAGAATAATTAAAACCTGTGTTAACTTGTGTATGTTTTCAGTAGCAATTGAACTTTGTGTTGAGTCTCTGCTGGGTCCAAGATCAGATCTGAATCAAGTAGAAAGGAAGGAAGGGGTGACGAGGGAAGGAAGAGTTGATTGTAGGTACCGTTTATTGCATAAGTTCTTACCAGTTTAAGATAAATCTCACCTGTCACATTTTATTATTTTTTTTTTAAAAGATATATTGCCTCTAATTTTAGGTATTTGGCTCACGATAGTTTTTGTTTTCAACAGTTATTGAGGGAGAAACACAGAAAGTGGGATAATGTTATGAATCAACTTCTGGAGATACTTTCACCTCTCTCGTATCGGGATGTAGCCTCAAGAGTTTTGTTTGGTTTACACTGAAGGGAGAGAAGCAGCATAACCTGAGAAGGCTTTAACTGCAGCATGATGTGGCAGCGCAAAGATTTAAATAACTAGGGATTTCTAGGAGAGAATATGATAAATCATTTTTCTCTTTTACTTTAGGGAGGTAGAAATACACGTCAGAATCATCAAGATGCATGATTTTGATCTGAAACCTTGACTTTCTGCACTAAATAGTCATTACATTTTTTTATCAGTGTGTTTTCTACAGTCTAGCTTTGGAAAGGCAGGGGAGGCTGGGTCTTCCAAGTCCCTTCCTACAAAAGGTGAAGATGGTTAATAATTCTTGAGCACCTGAAGACCTGACTTGCTGAATCTGTGGAAATACCAATTACTATATTTCCTTCCCTAAAACATGTAAACAAGTGGTTTGCATTCATCATGGTGTACTAGATTCAAAGAGGGGATGAGAATGGGGCCTGATTCAAGGACAATGACTGGAGTTCTGCTGCATGAAATACTTAAGGAAAAGTGTTAATTTGTCTGTCTTTGCTGAAAAGTACAGTTTTACATTGGCTTGTAGATAGTTGGACTGTGCCAGGGACTGCAGGTGAATTAAAATTAATCACACTAGCTTTGCCAAGGATTCTATGACATCCTGCTCATTCCCAAGTCAAGCTGAGGCATGTAACAGTGTTTTGAAATGGATAGTAGTTCTGAAGATGCCCCTAATATTAAATCAAATTCAAGGACTGCACTGGAGGTTAAATGCTAGTTCAGTCTGGAGGAGTGTGTTTGGTCTCTGGAAGAGATCCATTTGGGTCAAACTGGTAAATCAAGTAAAAGTTTATCTAATTAAACCCCCCCTATTTAAATGTCAGAGCACCTGCACTACTTTTTCTTAGGTGAATCAAGTTTTAATATTTCATAAAATTATTGTTAACACATATACTAGGCTAATCTTCACAAAAAAACTTGAATGATTGCTCATATATTCAAAATAAAAGGGGAAAACCTGAGAGGGACAGACACATTTCTTTTTCAGGCTGATGGGATTTTCCAAGAATGACTGTAAACTGTTTTCTTACAGGTTGTGTCAAATGCTGCTGGACAGGGTGTTGCCATCACTGGGAACAATACTTTCAACAACTGGAATTGGCCTAACGCTGTGATCTTTGCTGCTACTGTGATCACTACAATCGGTAAGTGTTTATTAAGTCAACTGTAGTTTTCAGTATGCTCTAGTGTGTTTGTACTCTTGCATTCATGTGTCAAGCTAAGCCGCTCAATAAAGTCCCTGTGGCTGGAGTTGTCTAGAGTACGTGTTCACCTGCAGGTTCATAGAAGAAAAGAAACAGTTTTTTGGCACTTTCTCCATGGGTACACGGGAGAGAAGCGTGTGCCTTTCCAATAAGTAATGGATTCAAGGTGCCGTTTTGGGTAAATGGTGTCATTCCAGTTTCATTAATTTGTGCACTTAAATCTCTAAATCAGGAAATCCCAAAACAAAAGTGTTACAAAGCATTCCATTAAACTAATACTTAAAAGCATGTGCGTATAAGGTTTTTGTATAGCTGTCTTGTTACTCATGCACATCCTCTTAAGTTACTGAATTATCAATGTTCTTGGCTTGCAGAACAATCTTAGTTTTTTCTCTCCCTCTTAAAGAAGGCAAAATAGAACAAGTGTTATTTTCTAAACCTCACTACTGATTTGTGCTTGTAAAGCCCTCTGCATTGAAAGGCTTCGTCCTTCTTTGATATACAGATGTTCAGAGCTCAGCATCCTCTGCCTTCTACTTTTACAGAAAAATCCTTGCTACATGTTATTGCTACACCCTTGCTACACCTACAATGCAAATAAAGCCATGAATTGCAAAACAACCAGAGAAGGCTTGAGGTATACAAAAATGGAAGTGTTACTGTTAAATCATATGCAGTAGTGTGGTTTTCTTTATCATTTGAAACTTGCAATACCCAACTTATGACAAAAGGTTGAAGTCAGGAACACACCTAAACAAGAACACTGTGGCAGAAGTTGGGAAGATAGGCTGCTTATTTTAGAGCCTGAGTTTGCAATACCCTGTTGGGTTCTGTGACCAGCAAAAAGCTAAATTTAGTTGAAATACCTTGCTGTGTCACAAATTGCCCTGCACTTAACTCACAAACTCTTACCCTGAAAAGGTACGAGGTCACAAGTTAAATGTGTAGAGTGGATCTTTCATCCTGAAGCTAGCTTCCATGTGAATTTTGAGCTTTTATTCTATAAATTGATTCAGTCAAGTTTTTAACAGTGTTGCTTAAGCTTGGGGAATCATATTAGAAGTTTTGAGATGAGGTTTATTTCGTATTTATCTTGCCTTGTCAAGAAAAAGATGCACAAAATCTAGGAAACACTTAAAATGCAGTAATCCTCTCAGCTTGCATTAATAGAATAGACGTTTGCTAGAATAGAATTGGAAGGCATCCAGATTCAGAAGATCAGCAGCTGGAGGAGACTAAAGCTCTTATAGGTGGTGAGGTAAGGAGCACCTGATACAGCAGAAGCCCACGCAATGTTGTTTTGTGCATAGGTAGAATTGCCTTGAATTCTCTGCAACAAGAACAGACCATGCACATACTTATCTGTTTTAGGTTACGGAAATGTTTCTCCAAAGACACCCTCTGGGCGTCTCTTCTGCATATTTTATGGGCTCTTTGGAGTTCCTCTCTGCTTGACGTGGATCAGTGCTCTGGGGAAGTTCTTTGGAGGACGTGCCAAGAGGCTGGGCCAGTTTCTGACAAAAAGAGGAGTAAGCCTGGTAAGGCCTTCACTTGTTTACCCTTGTGTTGTGTGTTTTTGATGCATGAATTAAGCTTAAACATCTTTAACTTACCTGCTAATCTCGGTAGTAAATGAATACTTGCACAAATACAAATTTTCCCAAATGGTGTTGTACAGAAATAACTGAATGGGGGATTGGGTCTGATATGTTAGTTCTGCAAAAAGTTTTAGCAAAATGAGATCTTGTAGAAACCTTTGATACTAAACATAGATCTTGCAGCTTCTGTGGAGACATTTATCTCCTTTATATTAGAAACCTGTAGGACAAATGTAGGTGAGGCTTCATTTCAGAGACATTCTGTACAAGCTCCTCTGGCATGGAAATAAGCTGTCCTGCTTTGTTCTCACCTGCTTCTATGCTAGCATGAGTACTTCCTTCTGTGCAGCGAACCAACTGGAAAATAATATTTTGTTCTGAGCTACTTGCTTGTGGGTGTTTTGTTTGTGGATTTTTGTTGGGTTCTTGGTGGTGGTTTAGTGTGGAGGGTTTTTGTTGGTTTTTTTTTCTTTATTTGTTTTTTTTTTTTTTCCTTCCCCTGAGTGAGTTCGATCTCAGGTCTAACTCTGCACAGATATGGGAGGCAATGCAGGGTCATAGTGCCTGGAGGACAGTGGGACAGGTTTAGGCTCTGGTTTCAGCGACAGAGCAAGAACTTTCTTGGTTCAGCACCTGAGAGAAAAAAGTACAGAAAATAAGTGACATGCATGTGTGTGTGCAGCTTTGTGCCATGAGTGGCATAAGGTAGGAGGCGTAGATAGGAGAGAAGCATCTTAAACACTTGTGATCCTCTATACTCAAATGAATAAAAGGAAAATCAGATGTACTGACTGCTTTTTGGACTAGAGTGCTAGGTCTGTATCCAATGCCTATTTATAAAATACTAGGAACTCCTTAAACTTTTCAAGAGTGTGAAAGAAAACTATGCTCCTGTTTGAGCAAATAGTTTTAAGAATAGTGAGTTCTACATAAAAATGCAACTATTTTTTTCCTTTACTTCAGTCAGTGACTTTTATTTATGGCTGATAAGCTGTTAGCACAAAACTCTGAAATGTCTGATACTGTCAGATGATGCTTGATGCCATG